TCAGGTGTCTGCCATCGTTGTTTTCACCATTTTTTAACTGTCCATCTCTATACCCTACCCTTCACCACTGATATCAAAACTAATGGTAGCTAAAAAATCAAAATCGGTTGCAATAGAAAACTGATACAGTTTATGTTGCGAAAAACTGCTGCAACTCTAAAATACTTCAAAAAGAATCTACCATCAGGTAAAGAACTAGCCTGTTACTCATCAGAATTAAAACTCGAAGACTGCACTAACCGCTCTACAAAACATCATTCTGGCACATCTCTTTTATTGATTCCCAATGCTGTAAGCCCTTCAAATGAAAATGAGCTAAAAGAAATCACAAAACTTGGAAAGCAACTTCGTCTGTACCTGTATACTTCAGTAATCTCCAACTTAATACTTTGTAAAGTCGGCGAACGAGTCTGCATTGCAAACAATGCTTTTTGAAATTGCGGTCAACAAAAAAATCCGCCCCAAGCAACAACTATGCTTCCAGAAATGACCTCTTCGTCATTCAAGAATGCACTTCGATCTCTGCCAAAGAAACGAATCGTCAGTTATAATACCCATAAAATTACAACGATTTATTATCACATTAAACAACACAACCCGAAAAGTTCCAGTTAACAACAGGGTGGAACAACTGGCACCAGATACGTTGAGCTCAGTTGGCTGAAAATCACATCTAGCCAGCAGCTGGTAATCTTCCAGTCAGAAAAAACTTCAGCAGTAATCTAATGCTATGGCACTTCATCGAGGTATATATAGGATAACAAGTGTTAAGAAATTTATATCGAATGGTACGAGAAACCGCGCGTTGCCATAGGGAGACCTAAGTATTACTGACTACAAAAAAGCGTTATAAAAAACGAGGATCATTTAAAATCATTTGTTTTTGCTAGATTATGGTCATGAATATTTCTGACAAGAATAACGACTCGCATCAGTATTTTCTGACTGCAGTTGGGCTTCTAACAGTTTGCTCTTAATGTGAATAAAAAAAATTTGCTCAACTGGTCATGGCAAATACGAGCAATAAAGTAGGAAGAACAAAGTAGGTTGTATGCTAAAAGGTTTAAGATTAAGAAAACATTAGAAAATCACAACCATTTCAAGCAATATAATATTATTAAATAAGAAAGTGAAGTTTCAAAGCTTTGAAGTTTGAAAAGTTGATATAGACTTCAATTAATACGAAAAATTGGATCTGATCATTTTAACTATTCGTTGTCTAGTCACGTCCTTGAACAAGCTCTTAAAGCACCTTCAAGATGTTATTCAAAAGACTGCTAGCCCCAAAACGAAAAAGTTCAGGAACCAGCCATTCTTTACCAAGCATTGTTTCAACTAGAACCCAGAAGCCTAAAGCGTCTTCTGCTGTCTTCAGTCCACCTGCCGGTTTGAATCCAATACGCTTCCCTAAAGCACGAACAAATAATCATTTTCTCTTCCAAAAACTAGTCAAAACTGAAAAGAAAAAACTGGGAAATAAGTAACCTAAAAACCTTAAATCTTATGGTAACGCAGGAAGCTTTTTCGCCTTACATTCCTTAATTTATACAGTAAGATGTTCAAACCAAATTCTTCATATTTTCAACTTCTTTTTAACAGAAACTTATTTTTAGGTCATATATGCCAAAAATTATGAGTTGGGTCATGAAAAACGACTCCAACTTTCAGTGGAAAGCTAAAGACGATGTAACAAACCGGTAGCATCATAATAGCGCTTTATAGCCGTACACATAACGTACGCCACTTCTAAATTTGCATTAACTGCTTCCTTTCCTGTCGACGTCTTAATAAAATCAGACCCTAAATGGCAACAAATGACTTAATCAAAAACTGCTAAAGAGTTTTTTTTTTTTTTCAGCAGATTTTTTTTACTGGTTCATTTTCGACAACACATTTCATTCCTTAAGCATTATAGGTACTTAACAACCTGCTAGTATTCCCGTGTAACTAGCTTTATATATATTTTCGTTGTTCTGCAGTTCACCAGTAGCAAGAATAGTTTTCATATGAGCGGCTCCACAAGTTTTTTTCATTTCTGCAATTTCGTCGTGCACCACTTAAAACAAAGTTTTAACTAAGAGTTACGCAGAGAATTTCTTTTGCGTTTACTTACAACATCAATCTTAATAAGTCTTGTGAAGAAAACTTAATTACTAACGTTAAGTTGATGCGTTACTTGAGAGTACTAAAGTAAACAGCTTACACACTACGGGCGATTTACAAGCAGTAATTGTACTTAAGTAAGCAAAGGCCAAAAGACAATATAAGAATGACCTGCAACTAAAATAAAAAACAATTTCTGCGATAAATTAATAATTTTAAAAAAACTCTCGCAACTTACATTTCCAATTCTGTTCCAAGGCTGCAGCACGATTGATAACAATGTCGATTTCATCCGCACCATCCTCTACGGCTAATTTAATTTCCAATAAACGTGATTCTAGGCGGTACTGACCAGAAGGGAAACCAGCAGCAACTTAAAGGTTCATAAATTAAAAAAGACATAAACCATTAGAAAACAGTTCTCGTCCAACCCAAATCTTTACATATAATTTTGAAGAAAAAATGGTTACCAGAAGCAATCCTAACTTTTTCCGCTTTAGTGTTCATGTAATTCTTTACATCAGTTACGCGAGCAGGATAAACACATACTGCGGCACACTTAACTTTCGGGTCCTGTAGAAAAAACAACATCTATTAGTCAATTCAATTTTTCTATTACAGGAAATATTTTTTACAGCGAACTTAAAAAAACTGTACATAAACACTTACGGCTGGGTAGGGATGAAGAGCCTTATCAACAAGTTCCTCAACACGTTTTCTCGTATCATCGCCAGCAAGGGTAGTTAAATCGATATGTTGGATTAATTTTACCAAAACACTTTTCTAAAAAAAAAATTTTTTCAGAGAATAACGAAGACAATTGACTTAAACTAAGCGGGAACAGAATCATAAGCAAGAAGAATTTAAATAACCTCTCAAAGAAAACGTTAAACAGAAAACATTGGTTTTAAATAAAAAAGGAATACCAAACAGTAAACGATACTAAACGCGAGTCCCCCTCACTACGTTGAAAACGTAAAATTTTGCCTACTGTACCAGTTTAAAAAATAAAGAATTTGTTTACATAATTACCACCAGAAATGAAAAGGTTAAATTCAGTCAAACCATACTTTTTTACGACAAAAAAAATTATACGAATTCATGAAGACTGTATTAATTTAAATCTATATAACCACTAATTCTGATTTAAGCACTTAACTAAAAAGTAACTTTCTGACACTTCTTGGCTGTAACGAACCATAAATAAAAATTTAAAATTACGTCGCTCAGTAACTCCTTCGCCTTCCGCCTTATTTTTTCAATTGCCTCATCAAGTGCTTGCTTCTCAAATTTTTGGCTTCCCACTTCCCTCTCAAATGCTGCCTGATCAAATGTCATTGCTACTGGAATCCTGCAAGTATCAAAGAACAATTTCCTTCACGGCATAACTTGCGGTAAAATCACGAAGCATACAACTTTCACGATCCGTCACAAAGCCACAACAGATCAAGCTACAAAAGTCAAGTGAGAAGCGAACGGCAGCACCATTCTCCAACACCGAGTCCATTGCCACCTCCCAATTTTACTTGCTTACTTTTGTACTAAACAACTTCAAGATTAAAACATACAAGCAAAAATAAGTCAAGAACAAGAAAAAAAGAAGATGAAGATACCTATAAAAATAAAACCTAATCTGCTTAACATTGCTTCTTTAATTTAAATTAGCGATAAGTCATTTATTCTTCGGAAGTACCAATACAGAGTAAATAAAATAAGCATCATACTTGTTGCTGAATGTACACAATCAAAGCAAAAGAGTTATTATTTTAACAGTAAAAGTGAAAATAAGTAACATCCAATTAATATATCATTTCTGTATCCATTACACCGACACAACCAATTTCTGAAAAATACCGTGGTTGATAGAGCACCTTTCGCATCAATACGAGCTAAGACACAAACTCACTACTTCATATAAAGAAAACCAAAAATTTCCAGTGTTGGGAATTTGTCGTACCCATAAAAAGCACTAACCAAAAGCAGCAACCTTAAATAATGCCGACGACATTATGGCTGCTCCCAATGCAGAAAAGTGGATAAACCCCTTCAAATTATGCGAATAAATAAGAACAGTACAACAAACAAATACATCAAAAAAATTTAAGTTGCTCGCATCTTTCCAGGGACATAGTTTTTGTCTACAATAGGTTCTTGCAGAAATATATGTAAACACCGTTCGTTCTGTGCTAAAGGGTGTCCGGCGACCTTATTTATGAATACCTCTAAACCTTTCCTTCGTTCTTCAACGAAAGACTCTTCAAAGATACCATCATCTGATCGGAACGGAAGCTGCCTCTTCAGTGCTTTTCCCGGTAAAGAAGGAACAACGATTTTGCTGTCGCGTTCAAGCTCACCACGTAGCCATTTAAAATCTGAATACCGGCGTCGAACGGTAGACTCCTTTAACTTAAAAATTGGTAAATTCGTTCGTAGATGGATCTCATAGTCGGTATACCTTGTTTTGCCAACACCATGGGTGACTGGATTTACCACCTCAATTTCAAGAAAATTTGCGGGAGGTGCATATGCTTCATCAAGCGTTTGCCTTTTTGGGGGTATACGCTGTGTAGCCGCCAATCCGCCTCCACTCATAATGCATGAATCAGGTAAACCCTAAACAGTACTCTTAGTAGAAAAAAATAAAAGCGCAAATAGATTTATACACATGAAAAACTCACAGACAAAAGAAAAGAACGAAGTAACTAATAATACACAACCCTAAAAAAGTAAAAAAAAATCAACATTTTTTCAATATGCGATAGCGCTATTAAAATTGCCAAACGAGTATAAGATCATAAAATAAATAATAGAAAAAAAATGACCCAGAAAGCAACATTCTCGACCTGTTGAAAGTAGAGATAAAGTACGGAAGTTATACAGCAGCGTCATACCAATTCATATATAAAAACAACCCTCATGATAAACAAATCACAAACTATATCTGATGAAGCCTTTGTAAGCAAAAACTTTCTATCTTTTTTTCATCTTTTACTTCTTTCCCAGCCGTCATAAACCACAAAAAAACAAAGCTATTCAGCCTCGTAAATATTCAGTGCCATAAGTCCTTTCTTAAATAAACAATCGATTAACTCACCAACCTAATGGATGCTTCCGAAATTGTATATACTTACAAACTATTGATTCAAATTAGTTTCTTCCTCCTTATCCCACTAAAAAAAGCCTGCGTACCACACAACTTGTAAAAGATTACGGTTTAGCCAGCGTAGAAAATTTAGATTCAACAGGTTCGTGTTAACTGCTTAAAATAGAGCCCATAGTCAAGAAGTTTCTTCCAAGCCAAACAAATATAATTGAACAAGTAAAGAAAAGTACAGAAAAATGTTTAATAAATTTTCACCTTCACAAAAGTTCCACCAGCCCGTAACTGAATGAAATTGCGCAAAAAAATTGCTAATGCAAAGAGCAAACACGGGTAGAAAGGCTGGCGCGCAAAAATAAAAAATGTCGCGAAATTCGTAACCAAACCGAACTTACATGAATCATCTTTCAAAAATCCTGGTTTGAAAATGATCAGCATTAAATACAAAGTACATCTCTAGGTTTAAATGTCATCCTGGCATGTTTCTTCTGCTATTCATCCAAGTATCACAGCAAATTTCCCAAAAAAAGGCGTTATTTCAACCAGCCTAATTTCTAAAGAGCTGCAGAACGGCACTAACTACAAACAGCTATATCAACGGAAAAAAAAAATATATCAAAGACAAACAAAAAAATCAACAACCTCATTGAATGATAACCGGAATGCTTCGAACGGTTCGCCCCATAGGCAATTAGTAACTCATTCTCTGCTAAATCTGACACAAACAGCCGAAGCAAAAGAAACAAAACAACACTGGACTAAATTGTCAAGTGAAAACAAAATTCAACCTTTTCCACTAGCTTAGACAAACAGTACACATGTAATAAATAAACAGACATATTTTTCTGACAAGCAGAGTTTGACTATACAAAAAAAAAATAACGACTCTGAAGTAATCCCATCTTTGCAAAGAATGAATGCAATTATGAACGGGAAAATGATTAGAAAACAAGATGCAGCAAAAAAAGATCAACGCCAAATCTCACAGCAGTAATCTCATCCACTAAAACCTAAAATAAGTAAAATTTTGTTTTCAGCTAATTCCAATAAAAATATCAGTAGAAACAGAGAAAAATTCTAAATGCTGACAAAAAAATTAACGCTTTATAAAAATACCGTTATCTTTTGATCAAAGCAAGTGAAGCTTCAGTTAACTGCATAACGGGTAGAGTTCAGTTTAGAACAGAATATAGAGACAGTGTATGAACAAACTAGAGTTTTAGATCCGTATTTAATCATAATATCGGGCAAAATTTTGAAAAAGATAAAAAAAAATAACGCAATCAGCGTTGGAAGATCACTACAACAACAGTATAACAGTGCAACAACAATAACAACAGCAACACCATCATCGAGCAGTCATTGGGAAAACGACCACTCTGGAAGTTTGCCAAAAAAAAGCAAAACAAGGAACACTTCAACAGCACCAAAAACCGTATATGACGACTAATACGCACATTTGTGTCTGCTTGAAATGCACCAAAATAAGGATGCATGTCATGAAAATTTGTCCACTAGTTTAACCTGTTATATTCTCATTTTTAACGTTTACAAGAACTACGGAGTCCTACAAAATCTGTGTTCTCAGAAAGAGCACCAAGAAAACTAAGGTTCAAGTAACTTCATTTTTTAAGCATTTGCGGTATTTTTCTTCGCAAACAAATTAGTCAATTTAGGTGGCAAATTTATAGGCGTACAGGAAAATGAATAGAGATAACAAAAAGAAAGGTGAACAGATTCTCATCAATTAAAACTTTTTTTTAAGACTTCTAAAAAAAGATTATTGTTTGCAAGATGATTCACGGGGCAAACCGTCCTATGATATTAAAAAAATATTTAATGGAAAGAAAAAAAACAAAGACTGCAGGAAGGAGAACGCAAAAATTGTTCTGATCTTTAAAAACACTAAATTATATCAGTTTGGTAATCTCCCTGTAGTAAAGCTGTTAAGAGGATCAACCATCTTGCCTTTTATCAGTATTAATTGCTTAGGCGGTGAACAGTTTCTATTTTTGTGTGTAACTATAGAACAAGAAACTGCAAAATTTATGCTTTTTCTACGCTTAACCAACTAAAAAAAATAAGAGAGAGCAAATGAGCAACATTTTTCTCATTAACAGGCTGTTTAGAAAGCGTCTGAATATAAGCCTTAAAGTGTATAGTGATTAGCGGAGACATCAAGTTACAGTTGAAAAATTTGTGGAAAAGTAGTGAAAGAAAGTATACGAAAAAAAAAAAAAATAATAATGGCACGAATTCAACCTTTCATAGCGCTGAAACCATATATAAGTACATACGTGTATTTGCATGATGTAAAGTTGATGTACCACCATCAGTAACTCATCGGTGACAACAGTTGTAAAATGGCAAAAATACAACAATATGCAAGAAAAGAAAAAAAAAATACTGCAGCGAACAAAGTTGTTGTAAAGCCGTAATCAGAAACAAACGAAAGAACAAAATCTATTGGAATAAATTAAACAATATGTTGATGATACTTTTACGAGGACTGTAAAAGGAGAAAAAAATTCAAGTGACAAAAACGATTAAAAGACACGTAATATTAGTCAGCAAAAGGAAAAAAAAATAGCTAAAGAAGCACATTTGTACAGTGACTCTGCTAACCATTGCAAAAACTATCTATGAAGGCAGTTGAACCAAACGAATAGCTAAGGAGCCAACAGTTCATATAATGCAGAATAAAAAAAAAAGGTACATAAACAAACGATATATTGTCGCTTAGCAGCTAAAAAATCAGACTGTTTAACTAACTGACGAATTGAATACGGCCGCTACAACGATGTGAAATGATAGCACCTGTTTCTGCTCAACCAATGACAGCTGAAAAACTACATTGTCAATCTGTCGCCTGGCCGCCTAACTGTCACCCACTATCTTGTTCTAGGCTTATAAAAACTCTCTGCATGTCTGTTTCAGTATTTTAGCGGTGGTTCATTTATAACACATATGCCAAAAGAACTGCTAACTGTTTTGCTGCATTAACTGTTTCCTGATAGTAAACTTTCTGTGTGCAGAATTTACTTAGTTCCCTGTCTGTTGATATTCTTATTATACATTAAAGCTAATGAACCGTTATTGCGCCTGTTAGATGCTGTAACAGTGGTATTGTAGGAGAAGCTTCAACGAAACGACCGCAAAAAAGGTTTTACTCAGATGATGATGGTAGTGGTTTTGGTAAAGGAAAGGTAATGGTAATAATGGCATTAATCAACCACTACAACTAATTTTAATCGGAATGAAGATCGAAGAGGTAGAATACAATGAAAACGGTAGAAACATATTTGAAGTTACCAGGGTTGTTAAACTCTCAAAATAAGGTTTCAAAACGGAGCCGGAAAGAGACAAAAAAGAAATGAATTATCCAACCATAAATAAGCGCATTAACTTTGATAAAATTTGTAAATTTTGAAGAAAACAGTTTATTTTAAATAATCGACTTTCTCAAAAAGACACACAGATATAAGTGGTTTATTTATTTCAGCATTAAGCGATCAAAACATCTTCCAGATTTATTGGATTTCATGTGACACCATGTCATTAAGGTCGTCAGTTAATATCCACAGATCATCAGGGTTCATCAGTCTACGAAACCACTTAATCTGTTGAATTTACTAGTGGAATGTTTGTTAAGATATAGATGCTCAAGCACAATGAATAAACAGGTATATACAAACTCGAAAACCTTTTAATAAAATAAGGAGATTTGTCAATAAAGCAAATTCACAATTTTGTTCATCACTTAAGGTAAATTTAACACTCTTTTCTTTCATTAAATTTTTTCTGGCTCAAAAAAGGCATTTTTTTCAACAGTATTGATTATCAGTTACGCAGATAGCGTAAATCTATGTTTACGCTGTATTAACTATGGGTGAATATAAAAACGTCAGCAATGCTGCACTGTAAACTTAGAAATTTGAGAATTCAGTAAACATTGTTGAACGTTTAAGAGGGGAAACACGGGGTGTGTGTGTGTGGAATGTTCAGTAATGCAGCCTATATCTTTCACTTGGATTCTCAGTTCTACTAGTCCTCCTTCCGATATACTGGTACGGGTACAGGGGAAATGAGTTGCAGAAGGTTGAAGACAACTGATCAATCATCTCAACAACATGTCATCATTTTAAAATTAAAAGAAATCATCCAAGTAAAGTAGTATAAACTTTATTTTAGTGAAACCGTTTTTTGCTGTTTTTGTCTTGTTTTTTTTATTTGTGAAATTTAAAAATGAGCAGAAAAGAATTTTCAGAACCTTTTTATACAAGTATAGATTGGTTATACTGTCAGGTATACAAAATGTTGTTACTTGTAGTGCTTGGTTGTTAGGATTTTTACACTATACCTAATTTATTCTAGCATTTATTGCAGAAGGCAAAATTTTTTTCAGCTTTAAATTGCTGATCGACATTACACGTTCGATGATCTAAATTACATCAACGAAGTTTGACAGTGTCCAGCTACAATTAGAACGCAT